ACATCCACGGCCTGGGTGATCGGGTTCGCCTTGAGCGCGCGGATCATGTCCATGCAGAGGTCGCTATGGCCGTGCGCGATGTCGACCACGAGGACATCGGCGCCGGCCTTGACCAGCGCCTCGGCGCGGTGGATGTCGTCCGACTTGACGCCCACCGCCGCGCCGACGAGCAGGCGGCCCTGCGCGTCCAACGACGCGAGGGCGTTCGTCGTCAGCTTCACGATGTCCGACGAGGTAATCAGGTAGCGAAGACGGCGGCTGGGGTCCAGGACGGGGATGTTGTGGGTGCGGGTCTCCCGCATCAACTTCCGCGCCTCCTCCAGGGTGATCGCTGCGTTTGTCGTGGTGATCACGCGGTCAATCGGGGTCATGAGGCTTCGCACGCGGTCGTGGCGGTCCGCGAAAAGGAGGTCCGACCGGGTGAGGACGCCGAGCAGGCGCCGCTCCGCCGGGTCGTTGACGACCATCAAACACCCCACCCCGCCCTTGCGGCCCTCCCAGTCCATCGCCGCGAGGGCGTCGGCCTTGGTGGCGTCGGGGACGATGCAGCGCGGGTCCTCGATGCGGAAGGACTGCGCGCGCTTGACCTTCCGCAGCATCGCGCACTGCTCGGCCACCCCGCAGAAGCGGTGGAGGATCCCGATGCCCCCTTCCCGCGCCATCGCGACGGCCGTCTTGTCCTCGCAGATCGTGTCCATGTTGCTCGCAAGGATGGGAATGCGCAGGGTCAGGCGGCGGCTCAGCCGGGTCGCGGTGTCCACCCCGCGACGCGAGCGAACCCCGCTGTGCTGGGGAACCAAAAGCACATCGTCGTAGGTCAGACCTTCCGGCAAGGACCGCGGCGTCGAGAGGCTCGCCATTCCTAAACAGAACGCGCACAAGGGGACGGAAAAGGGAAGAAGGAGGGGGTCGTATATGGGGGTTTGTTTATTATTGGTATAGATATCTCTATATGGGGATATATCTAGAGAGAAAGATCTATATGGGGGTGGTGGTGTGTGAAGGTGGGGTTGTGCGTGCTTCTAAAACAGGGGAAAGAGGCAGAAGGGAGGGATTAGGGTTGAGGGCAAGGGGTGCACATTAGAGTTGATTGGGCTTTAAATGCGCGCTGGAAGAAGGGAAATGGCATCCCAAGATTGTTAAAATCCAAAGTTAACACTGTCATAGACAGATCGGTAGGCTCATTTATAGATGTATGAACTGAAATTTATAATTACTAAGTGTAGAGATACTATTTATTGCTTTAGACGTTGCCACCCACCCAAAGAACTCCGTAAAGCTTCTATTTTATCTTCACGTGGCGTCTAGTTCCACTACTTAAGGCCGCACGTGCCATTCTAACCTATTTTCCGGAAGAGGTGGCAGCTCATACTTATTGAGAGCATCGATCAAGGCATCGGCGGTGGATGCCACGATAATAGACGAGAAAACGGTATCCGAGGTAAAGCCCTCCGTCACCATGTGCTTCAACAGCGATAGAAAGGGCTCAAAGTACCCATTTACGTTTAACAAACCAATCTTCGGGCGGTATGCGTCCAATTGATATAATGTGATCACTTCCAGCAGCTCATCAAAGGTCCCGGTGCCGCCGGGCAGCGCCACCACCACATCCGCGCAGGCAAACATGATGCTCTTCCGCTCCGACATCGTATCGGTGTAGTAGACAAGGTCCCCGATCATATCGCCGGAGGTTTCATGCCCGCAAAGGGGTCTTGGGATCACCGTGATTACTGTTCCCCCTTCACGTTTGACGGCTTTGGCGATGGCGCCCATCATGCCGAAGGTGCCGCCGCCGTAGACCAGCGCGCGCTTCTCCCGCCGCGCGAGGAGCTCGCCAAGGCGGGAGGCCTCGGTTGCGTAGGCGGGGTCCCGCCCACTTTGGGAGCCCCCGAACACGAGGACGCGCTTTTTCAGCAGCGGATGCCCCCCCTCCGGTGGGCACGCCTCGCCCTCCAGCCGCCCCGGCGACGCCCCGTTCGCGATCCCGCCGCTTTCGAGCACCTCCACGCTCTGCGCGACGACATCGAGGGCGCGGAGCTCGCGCTGGAGCGCCGCGAAGGCCGGGCTCCGCTGGTGGACCTCCTCGAGGTCGAACCGGCTGTTGTAGCGCTCGAGAACGATGAACTTCCGGGGGACCGGGCGGCCCTCGTGGACGGACTGGTGGAGCTCGTACAGAAGGGCCCCGGGCTCCTGCGCCATCACCTGACGCTTCATCGTTTGGAAGGCGCCGAGAAAGGCCGCGGCGCTGTCGTCATTCCCGAAAGTGATACTGAAAACCACCGCGACGACCATCGCATCGTGCAGGCTCGGGGCGTTTCCTAGCGGGACGATCGGGGTTGGGATGAATTTCCACTCGTGTTGGTATTAGTGGTGTTATTTTCGCTTTATGATGTGATATTAGTGAGCCCTTTTTATTATTATTTTAAATCGTCGGCAAATCAACTAGTGTTAGCGAAATCTAAGAATAAATAAAGAAAGAAAGGAGTCAATGGGGATAAACTACATGTGACCGTGATGACCGGAAAGCTAAAATACAGTCAATAGAATATAGTTTTAGCTCACTACTTATTTATCTCTGATATAAATTTATATTTATATTTATATTTCCTACTGCTAGTGTGGAAGCAATATGAGTATATGCTTGTACATATATTTCATTAAAATATAATTTATTGTTGAAAAAAATATCATTAACAGGCCCTAACAGCTAATTATCTATATATAATGTATATACGATTAGACAATATATAGTATCCCCAAGAGCATTAGGGGTTAGTCTCCGTAGATGAATTCATTCAAAAAATGACATTGCACTTTTCAATCCCAGCACTTTTCTCTTTCTACATACTGAAATACCTTTATTCGAAATTAGGGATGGGGAACAAAGGAGGGATCTTCAAAGGGAAGAAACCCATAATAATAACAATGTGATATAATAAACGCTAAAACAATGCTGATCAATATACGTACAATATTTTCTTTTTTATTTTCTCTCCCACAGAATTAACAGACGCATAAATTACAAGGAAGCAACAACAACAGAAGAGTATATAAAAAACAATAACCTATGGCCGAAGAATGTATCAATATGTACATATTCACGTACATACCTCTACCGGTTAATTAATAAGAATATTTACAAGCTTGGACATTTCCATTAACTAAATTCATAATTGTACACACAAAAAAAAGCAAGAACATTAAATTGACGTTAAGGTGGATATCAACTTATGGTTTGCACATACATCTTATTTTTTTTTCCTGCCGTATTTTTCCATTGAAAAAAAATATACAGATATTGAACAGTCCACTTCAATTAGGCTAGCTACATATTGCTGAAAGATAAACATGGAGCTATTTTTTTTTTTTTTGTAATACTAAAAAGGGAACTTCAAAATTAAGAGAATTTTTAATTTTACAAAATAATGATATATATATATATATATAGGGTTATACTCTATCTGGGAGGGCACTTTTCGTACGGTTTCAAAGTGTATAAAAGCTAGTAACCAATGGTAACGAATTAGTAAGATATGAGAGAGAGTTACAAACCAACGCACTTTCCACGAGGGGAAAGGCATTTATATCATGTTAAGAGGAGAAAGGAATAATAATAGTAAGGGTAGTAATAAAACTATTATACATCGTACAAAATGACTAATATGATCACATTGATAGTAACTATTGTATTGTTTTTCCTTATTTTTGTGTGTGGGGGTGGGTGGGGTGGAGGAGGGGGATTTCTAGTCGCTAGTGCTACTACAAAATCCCGCCTGGCTCGCTGTCGCTTTCGCGCTTGGGAATTCGCCGAGGTCGAATAAATCGACGCGGCGACGGCGCTCTTCTTTTACGCGCTCCAACGTGTTTTGTATTTGATCCCGATGGCCATGAATTTCGATATCCTCGGTGTCGTTGTCGTTGAGCTGGCGAACCAGCTTGAGTTGCTCGAACTTTTGATCGCCAAGCGTCTGGCGGAGTTCCTCACACTCGCACATCTTCTTATCATACATCCCCTCGAGCTCGGTGATCCAATCCTGCAGCTTCGTCATCTTTCGCTTCACCTTCTTGACTGATTTGTTTCGTATTTTATCGTCCTTGATGCGGTCCTCCATGTAGGTCGTCACGCGTTCGTTGATGAGCTGTTGGATATTCGCGTCCTTCGCCTCGCAGAGTCGGCGGTGCTCCTCGTCCGCATTCGCGGCGGCAGCCTTTGCAGATCGCAGCTCCTCATTCAGCGCGTCCACCTTTTCGTTATTGCGCAGGATGATGCCTTTTTGGATCTCGAGCACCGAGCGCAGCTGGGCGAGTTCGCCATTGCGCTCCTCCAGCCGCGCGGTGAGGTGGGCGGTCTCGTTCGCCCCGCCCTGGGCCTCGGCGATCTGTCGTTGGAAGTCCTCCTCGCGCTCGCGGAGTTCGCCCTGGAGCCTGGCCGCCTCTTTCGCCGCGGCGGTGGTGGCCTGGCGCTGGGTGGCGAGCTCGCGATAAAGTTCATCGCGGGTCTCCGTCAGGGCCGCGATTCGGCCGCGCTGGGCCGCGAGTTCGCTGCCGCTGCTCCCCCCACCGCCGCCGCGACGCTCGATCACCCGGGCGAGGTCGATTCGCCCGGGGTGGTGATCCGCGGTGGCCTCGTCGACCTCGTCCAGCACCTCGGCGTTGCCGGGGGCCGTCCACATCGGCCCCCGTCGGGCGAGCGGGGACCCTCCCTCGCCGCCCTCCGCCAGCCGCCTCGCCTGCTCCAACTCGAGCGCGCCGTACTTCTCCTGAAGCTCGCGGTTCTCCGCGATGATGGCCTGCAGTTCGGCGCGGAACTCCCCCGAGGTGAGCCCCTCATTCGCGCTCGCGACGTGCTCGAGCAGGGCGTTTCGCCGCCCATAGGCCCGGGAGATCTCCTCCGTGAGCCGCCACACCACCGCCGCGTGCGTTTCCGACGTCCGGGCGTCGTTGGCGTGCATGGCGTTCATGGCGGCCTGGGCGGCGCCGCGATCGCCCTTCAACAACATCGTCATCGGCACCGAGTGGGCCCGCCGCCAGCCCACCCGCATCACCGTCAGCAGCTGGTAAAGCGAGCGGATGATGCTGAAGTGGAACTCCGGGGCGTGGTCGCCCTCCCAGGTCTTGGCCAGCAGGGACTGCTTGTAGGGGTTCATCTCCTTCCCGGAGTCGTCGGTGAAGGCCCCGCCCAGCGCACTCAGCGCGCGGAACTGCTCGTCGATCTGCTGCAGGGGCAGGCAGTTCTCGATCTGCAGCTGCGCCTCCTTCACGGCGGCGATGAGCGATTTCTGCTCGTCCTCGTTAATCACGACGGAGTGCAGGCCACCCATCGGGGGGGGTGAGGGGGAGGTCTCCCGCGTTGGGGCCTCCCACCCCGCCCGCTCCTTGTCTCGAATCCGCACCTCCAGCTCCTTCTGCAGGCTCGCCAACTCCTGTTTTAGGCTCGCGTTCGCGACGGTGAGGGTTTGGAGCTCGGTCTGCAATTTCGACATCTCGGCGCTGGTCGTGGGTCGGTGGGCGTGCTTTTTGAGCACCATGGTGAGTTCCTTGGTGTTGGTGATCTTCGAAATGCCGTAGTCCTCGTCCTTTTTACGACCAATCAGGTATTTCGTGCAAAGCTGAAAGATCTCCTCCCGCTGCGATAGCTCACTGTTTAGGCTCGTCTCGGCAATCATCAGCTCATTCCGCAGCTGCTCGATCTGCTCCATTAGTTTGGCGATTCGCGCGTCGTAATCCCGCCGCTCCGCCTCGAGCTTCGTTTGGGCGCTGCGGAAGTCTAAATCATCCGCCTCTCGCCCATTCCGGACGTTTTCGAGCTCCACATTCAGCTCCCCAATGCGCTCCTGCAGTCGAACTACCTCCTCCTCCAGCTCACGCGTGCCGTGGGTTTCGTATTTTTTCAGCCGATCCCGCAGCTCGTTCACAAACTGCGAGAGCTCGGCGATCTTCTGATCTTTGGAGTCCATATTCACCACCGGTTTATTCTTGATTTGCTTGGCGCGATCGGCAAAGCGGAGGGTGGAGACGGTCTCGGAGAGGTTCCGCTCGCTCGGGTTGATGTTCGCAAACATCACCGTCTTGCTATTCCCCCCGAGCGAGTCTTTCAAGAGCATCGTAAGCGGGGTACTGCGAAATGGAATGTGGGAGCCGCCCTTGACGATCGTATCGATCACCGTCCCGAGCGCGCTCAAGGAGAGGTTGATATTACAGCCTTCTTTTAACGTATCCCCCGTGGCCCCGGTCTTTCCCTGCCGCTCCGACCCCGCGAGGTCCACGAGGTTTAACTTACTCGTCACCGACGTCGTCAGGCCGTCCTCGAGGGTCTCCGTGCAGGCGAGAACGAGGGTGAAAATCGAATGCGAGCGGGAGCTGTCGGCGTTCAGCTCGGTCGACCCCGTCCGCCGGCGCTCCGTCCCTTCATCCATCAGCCGAATTACATCCTCCGGCAGCCGCACCTCCGGGACGTTCGCGCCTTGGACAAAGAAGGTGTGATCCTTGTTCTCCCGGACATCCAGCGTGAGCTGCTGCTTGGAGAGGAGGTCGCGCACCTTGCCGTTGTAGATCTCGACAAAGCAGGCGTGGATGCTATAGGACTTCGTGCTTACATTCGCCAGGACGTCTTTCATGCTCTGGAAGATATGCTTGACTGAGCGTGGGATGATCCCCTCCATACCGTCCTCGTTGAGGGCGCCCGTCATCGTGTGGGTTTTGCCCGATCCGGACTGGCCGTAGGCGAAAACCGTCGCGTTGAAGCCATCCAACACAGAATCCACCAGCGGCATGATGAACTGCGTAAAGATGTCTTTTTGGCTAAAAGTGTTGTTAATGACTGCATCAAAGGTCCAGCGATCGGGCTCGCCGCTTATGCTTCTAATGGATACCGTGTGCGCGGTAAGATCGAGCTCGACGCAGTCTTTATGCCCATTATCTTTTTCCTTGTCGTTTAAAGGGCGGCAACGCACTAGAACTTTAATGTTCTCCGCTGCCGTGTCCACGGTTTTTTTACCCATTAGTGGACACCTATTCCTTTTTTATTATTATTCTAAAAAACTAAACTAAACTAAAAAAAAATATTAGTGACTATAAATATATATTGCTTTACCCCCTTTCCCAAGACTGAGCAAACTATGATTGTGAGCGTGGTCACTTCAATTCGACCCAGTCTTTTATATAGTTTTGAAATACGCTTGAAAGAGCTGGAAAACAAACAAACAAAGAAAAAAAGAAAATTTCATGCTGAACATCAAAGATAAATCACCCAAGGGTGTTTAGATCTCGTCTTTTCTTTTTTCCATTTCGTGTATGAGTATAAATTGATAATAGCGCATAATTATTCACCATTTTCAGTCCTGATTACTTTTCCGGATCAGGACTCACACCAGGCTCCGATTGATCAGCATTAACTTCAGAAATCGACGAGGAATCCTCTGCGTCCTTTGGGCCCCTGCTCAAGCGTTCGATGGCTGCCAGGATATCCTCGGAGAGGACCGGCTCCACCGTGATTCGCCGCGGGGCTTGCCGCATGGAGGTCTTGAGGGTGGTGCCGTTCAGCTTCGCGATCGCGCAGGCCGCGAGCTGCGCCGAGGCGAAGGTCACCTCAAACGCCCTCCGCAGCTCCGGGGGCTCGGCCCGGGACCCCCCTGGGGTCCGCCCCGGGGAGCGGTACCGCGCCGGGTCCTTTCCCTTTCCCCCCCCGCCGAGG